TGTTTATCGCAATAATTTTGTTGTTTTGAGACCATTTTCAAGTACTATGTTGATAGTGGAATAATAACGCCAGTTTGTTCTCTCAAAAACTGAAACTTAATTTTGTAAAAATTGGAACTGGAAGATATTCTACATATCCAAAAATAAAACACAACCAAAAACAAACAAAATGAATTGTGACGTCTTCATAAATAAAATTTCCCTCAAAAATATCAGAATGTAAATTGAGTTAAATTTACATTAAATGAGTTAGTTAACGCAGATTTAAATGAGTTTGTTAAGTAACGTTTTTAAGTAATATTCAATAGTTTAGTTTTCTAATTCCAAAGGCCAATAACTGATAACATACCTGAAAACAATAAAAATTAAGGAGCAAAAATGTAAAGCTTTGTCATCAATTCTCTCATTAAGACCAAAAACGGTTGACTCTTAAAAAAAGTACTAATTTAAAGTTTTCCAAAATTTATAAAAAAACAAAATAATATCTTTATATTGGGTCGATAATTATTTTTTGTGGCACTAGTAGCTTTTATTGATAGTCCGATGTAAAACGTAAGGAAGAGAACGCACAAAAAAAAAACAACCTGTGTTAAAATGGCCAACAATATAATTCATTAATTTTGGATACATTCGAGGTATTTGGTTGTTGCATATTATTATTAGAGGATATTTTGATTAATTTAATTGTTGCAAAAAGAGTCCTGCATCATTAATAAAGATGGATTTCTACCTCCCAAGCCCTGCCACACAGTGGACAGCAATGCAGCAGCCAGGCTCCTCTCTGAACTTCAGCTTCAGCAGGTTCAGCCAATCATCCACGATCTGGTTGGAGGGAGGAGCGCCATCATCAAACGGCCAATCCTGCGGCAGATGAGTGGTAAAAGAAAAAGAGGAAATGATGTCATGGATCCCTGTTATTGGAAACAAGGAGTGGTTGAACTGGTTACAATGGAAAGAGAAACGGAGGGGGAACGTGTTGAACATCCATTTCTAATTATACACTAAATGCTGATGTAAGATTAGAAAAATATGCTGCTGTGACATTTTGACAAAATATTTTACAGATTTAGAAAAAAAAGTGGATTTTTGTGATCATCATTTTACAGCAGAGTTTAAAACCCCCAGAAAACACAAATCTTCATCAAATTAACTTTGAAATTAAATTAACTATAAGAACTGAAAATAATATTTCTGCTGCTGCTGCTGCTTTGCCCTGTCACTATAACAAATTTTGCTGGACGATAAATTGTCCCAGTAAGTATTGCATTATTTTGAGACCATTTTGAAATAATATACTAACAGCATAATATTGCAAGTTCATCCTCTAAAAGACTAAAACTTCAACATTGTAAAGAACACTTGACACTGGATCTAAAAGACTTTTAAATATTCAAAATAATAAACAAAATGAGTCAAAGTGGAAATGTTCACTTTATCCTGAGATTAATTTAGATAGTTTAACTGCTGCTGATCAGCCATGCAACAGGACTGGACTTACCAGAACCTGAATCCCCTCTTTTACCACCAGGGTGGAATCATAAGTGGCCTCGCAAACTCTCACCACGGTGGTGACACCATACTTTTTCAGCTCCTGCGGGAAAATATCGACAACTGATTAGGAAACCTGATGTGATCAGTTTTACTGATTTTCCATATTTATGTAAATTATATGCTTCTTCATATTTTATGACTAACTGGTCACAGGCCAGTTAAAACACTTTTAAAAACTCTTGGATCAAAATAAAGATTCATAGCAAGAAATCTAGACAATACCATCTCTGATATATACTTCATATATATATATATATATATATATAATAAAAAAACTTTGATGCAAACATCTTAGTTTATTAAGTTCTTAATGACACTGCTGCTCCACCTCTAAGAAAAATTGTCTGAGATCAGATGACATGACTGGAGTCACAAGGGCGCCCTCTGGAGGCGATTGCAGCATCCAAAAATGTAGGTTTTATAATAAAACTCCTCTCTTGTCATGATGGGTCACTTGAATAGTTGGCCATTTTCAAAATGTTGTAGTTATAAAATGTTTGCACATTTGACAAAAATGTGTGTTAAAGCTGCAGCATGTAACTTATAAAAAGTTTTTTTTTTTTTTTTTTTTTTTACATACTTGTTAAAAATGTGACTGTATAAGAGATAATCTGTGAAAATATCAATTTCCTCCAACAACTCCTCCCTCAGCTACCACTGCCGTCTGATGAAATGCTCCGTTCTCAACCAAAAATAACCCATCAGAGCCAGGAGGAAGGTCTTCATGCTGTCAATCAATCTCATGTACTCGCTGCTCAATGTGGCAATGACAGAGAAACGACTCAGTGACAGGAAAAGTTAATCTGCCGTCATTGGTGACTATGCCAACTAGCCCTGAACATTCATAACAGGCTACGCTAGCTGCAAAGGAGGGTGATTGACAGCACCAAGACCCACCTCTTGGCTCTGATTGGTTGTTTCTAGTCAGCACTGGGAGAAGGCAGAGGAGATACATTTTTTAATCAGATTATCTGTCTTATACTAAACGGTCACCACATGGTGACAAATCTCATTATTAATGAAGCCAAAGAAATAGTTTTATGATTCGTTTGTTGGTTTATAATTTGGTTTGGTTGGTTTTAGTGAGATCTGAATAATGAATTCTTAGAAATCTATGCAATAAATTATACTGGCTTTTCGCCAATTCATGATTTGTTAAATCTTGCTTTATTACATCAACATGTCCACGAGGTGCAGGTGGAAATTAGCATTTTTTGCTACAACCTGCTAATGTTTTATGTTGTTGTCTTAAGCTTATAAGACAACAGCAGCATTACTCAACAAAAACCTAAAAGTTTAGATCCTATTTCACTGATTCATATTGATTTGGCAAAAACTCAGAATGGAGATCGTATCTCACCTCAATGAACTTGTTCAGGGTGGCGTTGGTGGGATTGTGGGTAATGAGGAACCTCATGTTTTTGTAGGTTATCTCAACAGGGGCTGGTCTGTTCATGCGAGCCATTGTAACGATGTAAAAATGGTTAACAAAACGTAAACTTATTCCAAAAAAACAAGACAACACAAGTGTAAACAGTTAGAGGGAATGTAAAACACAAAGGTCCAATGAGCTCAAGGAAGCCCAGAAACAAAAGATCCCCCGGTCTTTGTAGAAGGTTGGCAAAGCTAAATCATCAAAAATGGCTGGCAACTTGAAGGAGATGCCAGTTGACAAAGTGGCAGGCAATTAGAAAAGCAACTTAAAATCCTCTCCTTTGGGATGAAATCAAAAGAAAAGAAAGTAAAACAGAAAAAAAAAAAAACCAAAAAAGGCTGGTTCCACCTTGAGTCTGGCCGGGTGGAAGCCAACGAGGGCAGTGTGCAGCGGGTGGAGTTACCCCATCCAGGCTGAAGTATCGCTGGTTCTGGGAGGTTTCCCGGTCCTGTAAACTTTCCAGGGTCCCTCCGGTGGCTCAAGTATGTAAAATGGATGGCAAGCTTTGCTGTTCACTCGTCTGCATAGGCAGCGTGCTGAGCCTGGCAGTAGTCTCCACTGCCCTTCAGAAACTCCATAAATGTGCGACCCAGAACACCACAGAACTGCTGTGAAATGAGACAATAAAAAAACAGAAGAAAGTCCTTAATAATCTGTTAAAACAGAAATTTGGTTGATAACACATAGGCCTGTCACAATAAATCACATGATAGATTAAATTCCTCTGGACTCATTTACAGATTAACATACTTTCATGAGCAAGACTTCAGTTGCTCACTCACAGATAGATAAGCAAGGCTGATGGCATCAACTAACCACTCGTTCTGTGGAAGAAAGTCCTTAATAATCTGTTAAAAACCAGAAATTTGGTTGATAACACATAGGCCTGTCACAATAAATCAATAAATCACATGATAGATTAAATTCCTCTGGACTCATTTAAAGATTAAGATACTTCTATGAGAAAGACTTCAGTTGCTCAACCTCTCACAGATAGCTAAGCGAGGTTGGTAGCATCAACTAACCACTCCTTCTGTGGTTACCTAGTAACTCCCTCACTATGTGGTTACCTAGCAACACCAGTTGAGTAATTTATGCAGTAGCAGTTTTTTTTTTTTAAAAAAAAGCTGCTTAAAAATAAACAAGAGTAGAATGAAAGGAGAAAATTGCAACACCGACGTCAGATATTTAAAAATAAAAAAACCTAATCAATAATTATTGATCAACTGATATGAAATATTTATATTGTGATACATTTTTCAGTCATATTGCCCAGCCCTGGTTTCTGATCTGTTTTTAATTCATATGAAAGCTCTTTATATTATAATCTGTGGGGATAGGTCTCTGTGTGAGCGCGTCAATAATCTACTTATAATCACATTATAGCCTTTTAAATTATGATTTCCACCTCTGGCGCTGAAAGGCAGACTAGAGCAAAATTACTCTGACTTGGCCTGAGGCGTTTAACCTTTGCCTGTGATGAAAAATGCCAGACTTAGTAATACTGGCAGCCTTTTTGAAATCAAACTGCTAAAGTAGTAATCAAATTTTTCTACGTTGTCGTTTGTAATGCTAACCACACTAATTACTAAATCACTAATATAAAGTGATAAAGCCAGTTTAATATGAACTCTCCATTATTATTTTGCTTTAAAACAGTAAAATAGTGTTTTGCAGTGTCTGACTACAGTGACCTCATTCACACAAGGTGATGTCACCTCTGCTCAAAAGATGATTAATAACTGTTGCCAGTTAGATTGCCTTGAGATAAAATATTCTTCCTACATCTTCTGCTAATGTAGTTCTTGAGTAAAAATCTTTAAGTCTGGTAAAATTGGAATTGGTAGTGCCAGAAAATCGGAAGGAGATATCAGAAATCAGAGAAAATTCTGTATGGTTCATGTAGAACAATGTTTTCCAAACTCTGGTCTCCATGTTTTAGGTGTTTCCATGCTTCAGCTCACCCGACTTCAAATGATGTCTGATTAACAGGCTGTAATCACCTGAATCAGGTGTGTTAAAGCAGGTAAGCATCTATAACATGCAGGGCAGACTACATTGAGTATCAGGGCTGGGAAACACTGAGGTCAGTAAAATTGTTCTGCTGAAAAATATGTCTGCATATCTCTAAATAGTTATGCGTGACAGACAAAAATATTTAAGATATTGAGGGAGAAATGAAAATATACTATTTAGAGTAAAAATCCTGATCAAATAGTGAAACAAACATGTCAATATAAAGAAACTAAATCAATGCATAACTGTGATTTAAAATTAAACTCTATAAAAGGTTTACAGAGTAAAAATGTGCATGAATATATACACAACAGGTGGTAAATTAATCCGTTTTAATGGGGTTGTCCACTAAAACTAAACAATAATTTGCAGCAGAGCAGATGATATGGAATAAGGGAAAGGAAATCACCTACAGTAATGCTGTGTAGCATCTTATGTAATGGCCACCAGTGTTATACAAAAGGATGTGTCATTTCTGACATCTATGCCAGATTTTTTTTTTTTTCATAAGGCCTCCATTACAGATCTCATAATATTTCTTGTTTTAATTTACCATCAAGCTTATTAAATTGTTTTTTACTGTCTTTTCAGATCCTAATGTTTCAGACCATTACACTAACAAGAACTCTGAAGCCCAGTTTTTCCACCAATGGCGCTTTTCCTCATTTATGGCAAATCTAAAACCTAAGCTCTTCAATTATGCTGCGATAATCCGCTATTTTCTGGCTGAACGGTAGCATTTGGTGGACATTTTGTGGGTCGAACAAAGAAGCTATTAGAAAGGGAGGCGATGTATAAAGATAAAACATAGAAGAATATATTCATCCTTTATTAACCAATATAATTTCGCCATTTCGTTAAAAACTTTGAACGTGTCCTCCCAGCTCAGATGGGGCGCCATCACATAGCAGAGGCCTGAAGACATAGCCTTCTTTTTAGGGTAAAAAAAAACAACGCCTTTTGCCAACTTCATTTGAAAAAAGCAGTGTATAAACCCAAAAAGGAAAGTATTGGCTGTTTGTGACTGATTTCATCAAAAGATACGTTAACTTCAACCAGGAGAAACTTCCGAGAGACCGGCTAAGACCGGTTCAGCTGCGCATCCGATCGCCGCTTCCAAAGCATGGCGACCAGCACAGAAACCCTCACTACCGTTAAAAACATGGACAGAAATAAGTTTACTTTGACTTTCTGCAGCGAAATTAAAAAAAAATTAAAGACTTTGACGTCTGAGTAAGGAGAAATTTGATTAAATTTGTGCCGCGTAGGCCGCGGTTTTATCGAGGAAACGTGAAGGCCAGCTGGTGAGAGCTTCCGTCCTGATTTTAGAACAAAACCCGAAGAGGTGAGCCTGGAAAAAACACACACAAAAACAAAATGGCAGCCAGAAAAACCGCTACTTACTGGGATATGCTTACTCATTGAAGATTGTAGCTTAATCATACAGCCGGTCCCAAGAAAAACGGTCAGAATATGAAACGGTTCTCCACCATAAAATCCGGTGTTGTTTCTCCGAGCTGAGCCGAAGTCTGCAGATCTGCCGGGCAAGAAGACACTGACACGAACCGGAGATGAGGCAACGCCGAGTGACGTTTCCGGTTAGGACTTTCACAATAACAGACTGCCTGAATAAAAACAAGCATCAGCATGCAATATTTAAAACACACACAAATGATTCATATCAAGACTAACTGCCTTTTTTATTGTGAATGAAATTAGGCTTTTTTACTATATAAACTTAATGGTTTATCACAATATTTTGTGGCACTACTGTGATAATGATAAAAGTGGTGATAAGAACAATTACTTACTATTTTTTAGGTAACAGACAGTTAAAAAAAATTGTAATTCATTGGAATTTATTGTGTCAACAACAAATCAAAGTTTTGTTACAAGAAATTTGTCATAATAAATTATAATACGATAAATACTCACTCCTACTTTGAATTGGGAATCTACTTATCAATCTGAAGAGAACAGGTCAAAAAAAATTAAAATTAAAATTTACATTTTTTGTTCCTATAATCCCCAGTGAATTATGATGTGCTGCAAATACAAAGTTGTCCTATTTAGTCATGACATGCTTGCTCAGGATTAAATGTCTCATGCAGTTACTTAGACTTCCTTAAGTATATGACGTTTCACTAACTTACATTTTGTGATCAGATAACTTTGAGCTGAATTACAACTTGGATTAAACTGCGTTGTAAAAGAAATAGTAATGCGACCCTATGCTTGTTTTGCATTGCTATGAACTGAAACTGTTTTTGTAACTCCATCTGAATTGGGCCTTTAAGAAAAGTCCCTTGAAATGATATACTCTATTATAAACTTCATTTACTAGAATTTTTATATTGTGCAAGTTGATACAAATCTCGTGTCATGTGCAATATTTGTATAATTCACATCTTTTTTTTAATCGAAAATTGTAGCACAATCTAATCATTTGCATGTTATTTTTTTCTGCTATTCTTTCAAAAGCTGTCTTTTGGTTGTCATATCGCTAATTGTTCACAAAAGAGAATGTACATTTTACAAATTGCAACCAAATCAATAACTAAAGCTGTTTTCTTGATACATAGAGACTACAGGGTGTGTAAGGGCTCTTCAGATATGAAAACTCTACTGGCGCAACTGGTTATTCATTGTTTTTCTTGCAAATATTTGGTGCAAATGCTGCATTAATGTCCTTATTTACTAAGGTAAAATCATTATCAAGAGATAGCAGGACCTGCTGATCAGACCTGCAGCTCTTGACAATGTCTATAAAATGTATTCTAAAGAGAACTTTCATGATACAGGTACTTTTATTTTGAACTTTCTGCTTCCGGTTTCGATTGTTTTTGTGTTTCACTGCCACTGCCTTGATGCAATCCCTGGAAACCCCACCCTGAAAATGTGCGGTGTTATGCCCAGACTCATCCCGAGGAGGCGCAGGTCAGGTGGTTTCTGACGCCCGGGACACTGGACACGACTCAAAACACGACCCGCACACTTTACTGCGAAACTATGGAACCAGTTTGACTCGTTTCTCAACAACAAATTAACAGTAAACTGTTAATTGTTAACAATAAGCTGTTAATTCCTTCCTAAAGGAAGGAAATAAAATATGCTAAAAAAAAAAAGTGGGATCATTACTGCTGGAGGAGAATAATAATCAATAAACATCGCAATTAAACATATTTCATATATATTCCCCATATATTATTTTATTATTGTATAAAATGTACATTGGGGTGGGCAATATGGACTTAAAAATTTACCACAGTATTTTGTGGTACTATTGTGAGATAACGATAAAGAACAATTTATTACTATTTAGGTAATCATATGGGTGTGACTGCGGGACACAGAAATTATAGACCCACATAAACAAGTACTGCTGAAAAAGATTCCCATTTAAGGCACCCATCACATGGAGAAGTGTGATTTATAGCACTAATCTGCACACAGCAACTGAATTTAATCATATTTTCAAATTTATTGGTATTTATTGATACTTTGAACAAACAGTGGAGAATATAAAAAAACTAACAATCCTAACAATACAGAGAGGTTTTAAAAACATCATGCAAAAAGTCTGGAGCAACCTCTGTTCGGCACTCATCAAACTTGATTGATTTGTTGTTCAATTGTATGTTGAATAGAAACGCTGGTGTACATCTCCATACTGATTATTTAATTAAATTCAAAAATACTTCATTGATCACATGATAAACTTTTTTTTAAAGTAATACAAAACAAAATAAAGTAGCTAATAATGTTCATTGTATGTGTTCTTTCACCACACAATAGTTAAATGTTCAAATTACATTATAGAATAATTTTTCATGTTATTGCCTCCTGGTGGAGACCAGTCTAGCTCTGAATATTGTCCTACTTTTACAGGATTTGTAAATTATTAGATGAATTATAATCATAGTTATTGCATTTCATTTTTGTTACTATTTCAGAATTAAAAGGTGTAAGTTTTCAACTGTTGAACTGTTAAACTGTTATTTAACTACTTGTATAAAATTCCCAAACAGTTTTTCAGAGCACATTTTCCAGTTGCAAATTATAGGTGTGTTTTTTTAGATTTTCAAGTTATTTGTCAAAACAAACAACCATCTGAAGAGTACTTTCAAATAACACCAAAATCATGTGTGGAGGTTAGAAAATCAAGATCAATGAACATCAGTGTTTCTGGAAGCTAAAATTAAGGGTTATTTATCTCCTTCAGTTTACATCAAAACCTGTAAAGGCTAAGAACCAAAATCCCATGAAAAGGTCAACAAAAACCGATGATAATGTTCTGCCTTTTTGGTGACTAAATGTCAGTTAACTGACTTCTACCAGACTCTGGATAATAGGTTTAGAAATCCTGATCTTTCTTTCTGGAAACTGCTTAGCTCTGCAGTTCAATTATTCCCGTTTTCCACCAATGGGATGAGAGCAACAATGTTTCAGTCCCTACCAGTGGCTGGCTGGTCCCAGTTTGCAGCTGGTCTCCAGTGGCTGTCAGGGTTGGAGAGAATGTTCTAATCCGTCACCATTGTACCAATTGTCTATAAAAATTAATGTGCAAGTGAAGCTCTGCCTTCAAATGGGGGCAAATCAAATTCCAATTTCCAATTAATCAGCACAAAGACAGACATGAATGACTCTGAAGATTTCAAGGTAACAATTCAACATCTATTTTTTTTGTCTTTATTTAGTTGAATTTACTGTGAAGGTGTGCAACGAATATAGATTGTATTTTAATCTAAAAATATAAATTAAGTATCTTTTATTTTCAATGATTCAAATATTTTTTATTGTTTTTTGTCTTTTATTTTATTTATCTTGTGGTGAAGTACAAAATGTATCTTCATAACGCTTATTAAATTTCTTGTTGTACTAGCCTGACCGTTTATCGCGCCTCTAATCTTTCGCCCACTCATTTGGATTCCGGTTGGATTTCAACCGGGCCAATCAGTGAAAGTCGATTGTCGACGTCGATTTTCTGCGCGATTTTAGAATTGTAGCCTACGTCTAGTTTTAGGCTACAAAACTAGACGTAGTTTTGTAGAGGAAGTGAGCGAAACCGTTCAGTCTGTGCTTGCTACATTGAATTAGCATTAACAGCCGTTATGTTCGGCTTAGCAAAGCTAAAAGTTGTTTGCAGCACAGAACACCGGCAACTTCCGGTAAGCTAAGTCGAACTGGCGCATTACATACATCACGGGCAAACGTTAGCGTCAACAAACAATCGCTTCTCAATAGCTAAGGAGTAAAGCGCCCCAAAATTATACTCAATAAAGAGTAGTACTACTTCAACATATTTTTAAAAAGTAGCTGTCCAAGAAATTACTCAAGTAAGAGTAAAAGAGTTTTTGGCTAAAAGCCCAGCCAAGTACTGAGTAACTGATCAAATTATTGATTTAATATTTAATAATTACGTAATCAGACGGACCAAAATATAAAGCTTTAAATTTAGGTAATTTAAAGACTGAAATTAAAATAATTTATATAACAAAATCAGGTAAAAGAAAATTTTTCCAATTCAGATTCTGTCAAAATAAAACTGATGAAACTTTATCAAAAATTGCAGGTATGTGTTTGTGTTTGGTGAAGTTTTGGTTAAAATTTGTTTGTTCTTCATTCAGTGGGTAGGAAATCCAGAAAGTTTAGTCAAGTAGGAGTAGTGATACTTAATAATGAAATTACTCAAGTAAAAGTAAAATGTACAGTGCAGTAAAAATACTTCTAAAGGTATATTTTTGCTTCAAAATGTTACTTAAGTAAATGTAACTAGTTGCTACCCAACTCTGTCAATAGCCGAGGGTAAAGTAAAGCGTAGAACAAGGAGCTATTTTTACAAGGTTAATCATTTTTGTAATATTTATTACAAAGATGTTTGAACAAACAACAAAAATGTTGTCTTATAATTTTTCAGTGCCAACACATTTTTATTGAAGGAATCCAAAGACAAATAAAATCCTTTAATTATTGATTTGTCAGTGTCTCAGCACCAGTTTTGGGACTTTTTTTTTTTACAGGAGAGTCACAGCAGAAGCAAAGACCAAACAGATGGAACAAAAATGAGTCTAGGCAAAGAAGAGAAAGGAGTTAAAGTAACTAAGAAGTTTATACCTCTGATGGGTCAAAGCTGCAGAGGAGGAGATCCATCTCCTGACCAATGTTTGACCAGCTCTGAAATGCCGTCAGCGCCTCTTCTAGTTTCTGCATCTGGCCCTCAAGATGAAGATCTGCGACTGGAGGAACGTCCACAAAGGGAGGACTGGATGAAGGACGAATCATCCCAGACTAAGGTGTCGTTTGGTGGACTGGGTGTCCACCAGCAGACCATGGAGGAGCTGAAGAGCATCCTGAGGGACAGTCATCTGCTCAGCGTGCGAGGGAGAGAGGAGGAGAAGCCAGGAAGTCCGTTTACGTACCTCCATGGGAGCAGCAGCGGCGGTGTAGGACGCGAGAGACGGGGGGACGATGACAACCCTCACAGGACGTTCAGCACCTTCAAACCTCAGTCTGATGCTTCCAGAAGGGGGGGCAGCTCCAGAGAAAGTACGCCTATTCATCTGCCCCCCGCTGTGGATGCATCCAGCTCAATCAGGTCTGCTGCTAAAACAAATAGGCAGCCTGGAGTCAGGATCTACACACATTCAAGCAGCAGAGCCTGGGGGGAGACGGGAGATTCAGGTCAGTGACTCTCAGAGTCAGGATAGTTACTTAATTAAGTAACTTTTTGGAAAAAAAATTACTTTTAGGTGTATTTTTACTGAATGTACTTTTTCTTTTACTTCAGTGACTGTCATAAAGTGTCATCACAGCTGGGTAGTTTTCCACATTAAATTACTTATAGGAGTGTTCTCACTATGCTGTACGTTTCACTTTTACTTCAGTAATTTTATTATAAAATATTTCTACTCTTTCTTGAGTAAAATTTTCTACCCACTGAATGAAAAACACGTTTTAACCAAAAATTCACCAGACACACGCCTGCTGTTTTTGTTAAAGTTTCATAAGTTTTTTATTGAAAGAAACTCATTTGGAAAAAATATATATTTAGATGAATTTGTTATTTTTTTGCTCCTTGTATGAATAATTGTCTTTTTTTTTATTTTTACCTTAAAAGACCAAAATTTCTTTTGAACTTTATATGTTGGTCCATCGGCCTGTGTAATTTGTAAATATTAAATGATTGATAATTTGATTAGTACTTGAGTAGACTTTTTACAAATACTGTTTTATGGCTAGGTTTTACTTTTACTTGGGTAAAAATATGTTGAAATAGTATTTTTTTTGTGTACTCTAGCCATCTCTGATGATGCTTTGGGTGAAAGACAAGTTAGTAGAAATATTTATAAACAGATCAAGTTTTAAAAAATATTTAGCTTTACCAGTTTTTATGGTTGTAGACAACGACAAACATAATGCCTAATAAGCTTCATTTTTACCTTGTCATATTTTAAAACCTTTGATCTTTTATTTAGATGAGGTCCTTCTAGTGCAAAGGTGTTCAAAGTGTGGCTCTCGGGTCATTTGTGGCCCCTGGACTGGTTTTGTGTGGCCCCTGACCACAATTCAAGAATAATTGACATAAATTAGGACAAAACTACAGCTTTTAAATTAAAATCTACTTTCAAAAACTGACAAGCTTTTCCAAGCTTGGTGTTTCTTCACATCATTGACTTCGACTTTAAAGTACACCTTGGGGGCTGTAGGTCGTCAAGTCTCCATGACAACCACCTGGAAAATATCGACATGAGAGGGGATTGTTTGACAGTGATGCCTAGAAAAAAACCTGTTTTTGTTCAACCATCACAAATATAAACATCTGGAACCTGCTAAGCTGTTCTAGAACGTTTTATAAAAAATATTTTTTTAGACCTGTGACAGACTGGGGACCGGTCCAGGGTGACCCCACCTCTCGCCCGGAACGTTAGCTGGAGAGGCACCAGCACCTCCTGACCCCACTGAGGGACAAGGGTGTAAAGAAAAAGGATGGATGAATGGATTTTTTTTAGACGAGTGGCCTTATTGAATGGCAAATAGATAGGAAATGTGGTAAAGAGGAAAAGAGAGACGGGGAAGACATGAAGCAAATGTCCCTGGAAATTAAACGCCAATAATTGTGGCACTATTGATTTGTTCCCCACTGAGTAAATTAACTTAACTGATTTTTATACACATCCTTATGTGTCTGGTGTTAGACTTTATGTTTGTAAAAGTTCTTTAGCGAACACTTGAATATTAAGTTTTAGAAAAACAACATATTTATTCATGTCAAATGTTAAATTGTTTTCCGCAGATAACGACAACAAAGCTGTTGAATTCTCCAGCAACTTGAGGTTTTTCTCAGCCATGGAACAAATCAAGCAGCAGATCGCCAGAGAAAACATCAACTTCGTCCGTTTTGAGGCCACCGACCTCCACGGAGTGTCGCGGTCCAAGACGGTGCCCGTCCGCTTCTTCCATGTAACTCAAATTAATCTGCTTTATTTATGTATAATGACAGAGACAAAACTTAATTTAAGTGTCAGCTGGTCTCTGAGAGTAAGGAGAAGAAGAAAAGGTATTTTGTTTCTCTGTCTCTACAATCCTATAAAGTTTCTGAAATGTTTGTTTTGTATTTAATGGATCATCACAGGAGAAAGCAATATATGGGGTTCCCATGCCAAGAAGCTATTTGGAGCTGACCCTGAGCCCGAAGAGCAACGAAGTGGACCACGCCAACACCGCCAGCTTCAGCAGTGATGTTCTTCTGATCCCTGACCTTTCAACTTTCAGAGTCCTGCCTTGGGCTGAGCAGACAGCGCGGGTCATATGTGATCCATGCACCATAACAGGAAGCCCCCTCCGCACCTCGCCTCGCCTTATAGCGAAGCAGCTGCTCGGTCAGCTCCAGAGCCTGGGATTCTCCCTGCACTCATCCTTTACCTACGAGTGCTGTGTTCTGGGAGCGCCGGACAGAATCGGACCAAAGACGCTCCTGTTCCCTGCCACCACGCTGCTGAGCAACCACGACCTCCCGTTCTTCCAGCAACTGGTCGACAGCATGTACTGCATGGGCGCAGACATCGACAGCATCGCCTCTGCTAGTGGACCCGGCCAGATGGAGATCAATTTGAGGCCGGAGTTTGGGATCGCGGCTGCAGACAGCGCCTTTACCTTCCGCACTGGCATTAAAGAAATGGCTCGTAAGCACAGCTACATCGCCAGCTTTTTTACCGATGACGGTCTGTATAACGCCGGTGTGCTCTCCCATAGCCTATGGGACGCTAATGGGCGGCGCAGTCTCTTCCAGAGTGGCGAAAAGGAAGTAGATCTGTCTGAGATTGGTAGAAAATGGCTGGCGGGACTTCTCACCCACTCTGCAGCGCTCAGCTGCCTGATGTCACCCGGACTGGGCTGCCGGAGCCACATCGCCAAAACCATCAAAGACCCCAAGCGAGTTCTGTATGCCACCTGTGGCTGCAATGACAACAGCAGTTCCTTTAATATCAAATGTCACGGCGGGAGGGAGACGCACATCGACAACAAGCTAGGCTCAGCTATGGCGAACCCTTACATTGTCCTGGCTGCTACGACGGCCGCAGGACTGGACGGCATCAGGAGAAACCTGAACATTGAGAACATTCTGAACAAAACCCCCGGCCAGCAGAGGGAGTTCGCCATTCCGGTGAAGCTGGACAATGCGCTGGAGGCGTTGGCGGAGGATCACGTCATCTGCAGCGCCCTCGGAGAGCCGTTTGTTCAATACTTCATTGCCATGAAGAAGTTTGAGATCGAGACCCAAGAGCTGGACGACGAGAGGAACAAGTGCCTTGAGTATTTCATTTGAACTTATTTGTGGTGTCCTCGCTCATAATTTTACAAATGAAACAGTTTCTCTCGTCAAGCAAGACAAAGTTTTCCTCACATATATTATTAAAAACGAATTAAAGTGAATTCTGAAGTCAAGAGATGTATGATTCATTATTGTTTCATCAACATAAAAACAATACAAAGCAGTTTGTTTTACACAATTCCCAAATGAACTATTTTACTGTTTTAGTTAAATAGCAACTATGGCTACATATTATAAAATGTAGCCATAGTAAAAACAACTTACTCTCTGTTAGTTTTAAAATATTTTACTATTTTAGTAAAATAGTTCATTTGCACATGCAGAGACTTTATTATATATCAAAATGAAGAAGACACTGTTATATTAGAAAGGAAGATAAAATCTGCTTTACTATTAGAATTAACAATAAAGCCTTTTCTCCATCGTGTCGTTCGCTTACTGTTGTAATGACCATTTTGACCTCTTGGGGTCACTGTCTCCGCAGCAGATTTGAAAACAAATTGCTGAATCATCGTGATGCAAATTTAAACAGATCTGATTCCCTTAAAACATTAAATTGGTGTGTGAAAGTTCTGGATAGGATTTAACTTTTTTTCTGTAGTCATTTTCAGTTTTTGACTCTTCCAAAGACTGACATAAAAACTGCCAAAAAGTTGTTGGTTAAAGTATTTTATCTTTATTTTACAACATCAGAATATCTTTTATTGCAAATCCATGTCTTTGTGGTCTTCTCAGCACTTAAGGAGATAAATATGAAGCTTTGTTAATAAACTTAAATAGATCTGACCCTGAATAGAGTTGCTGGAGTTGATTTACTTCATGGTAGAAAACATAAATTTGTGCCGAGTCATTTCCTTGAGAGAAAAATTACAAAATCCAAAACAAAAATACAAACAATTTAAGCTTAAAAATGACTGCTTTCTTAATTCAGGTCTGAAGTTAACTGTTTAATTCCACAAAATAATTAGCACTAATGTAAAAAAGGTAAATATTTTAAAAATAATAAATATCCACCTGACGCCACGTGTAACGTGCAATCTTGGAAAAAATATGTATTTAAGTGACTACATGGCTGCAAGAGTTCGTGAATAGAGACTTAAAAAAAAAACAGAATTATGTTTAAATCATGACATTGTGGGGAGAAGATGCAGAATCTCCTCTCTTTCTCTCTGGGGACATCAACCTAATTATTCCAACAAAATTTGATAAAATATTATAAAATGTAGCCATAGTAAAAACAACTTACTCTTTGTTAGTTTTAAAATATAAAATATTTTATCTTCACAAAACACAGATTTCACCACGTCATGATTTATTTTTCTTTTACCATAACTGTACAGTAATATTTAATATTTACATGGATTTATTTGGGACACTTTGAAGCTTATTGTTTCAGTATTATTAGAAAATCCCTGCTTAAGTTTCAGATTTCTTGTCCAGTAGAACTACTGCAACACATTTAATAAAAATAAAAACACTCTTCAACAGAAAAACTTGCAAAGTGCAGATATGTAAACTTTAGGTGTGTAAACATTAGGGTTGGGTACAGGATCCAAGCCTCAACTTCTCTTTGACCTTTCACCTCTTTGTATCCCTGTTGTCTGTCTATGCGTTACAGTTTCCTCCCTTCCTACTTCTCTCTATTACCCATAAGCAAAGTTTTTCATTCTCCGTATTTCATGATATTTGGAAACAAATAATCATGAAATGCTAAGATCCAGCCCTCTTGTCCATTATCTGTAGACTGTTATTTTTGTAGAGTTATGGGGATCTGGAGGCCTTTCTCCAGCAGTCATCGGTTGAGAGAAACCCTGGACAGAGACCAGTTAGCCACACAGTTGTGTTTTTGGACTGTGGGAGGAAGTGGGAGTACCTGGGGAGAACTCCCCATGCTCTGGGAGAACATGCAGTCTCCATGCAGAGAGGCCGCATGTTGGGGTATCAAGCCAGGACCATCTTGCTGCAAGGCAGCAGTCCTAGCAACTACCGCACCATGCTAAAGTCAATGCTAAAATCCCACAAATAATTTAGTAAAATAGTTCATTTGCACATGTAGAGACTTTATTATATTTTTGAACTGTGATGAGAGGTCTGTTTTATTGGTACTTAGTGTCAGGAGTATCTTGAAAACTGTAATTTTGATTCCTTTGTATGTCTTCTACACGTGAAGATTGAAGAATCTAATTTATTTGGGATTTTATGTTTATGTTAAACATGACAGTTTATGACCCCTGTTGCTACTATTGATTTATCCCATTGGATTCACATTAAGCTATAAATAGAATATAGAAAATTACCTTCGATCATGAAGGTATGGATTGACCTGTATGAAATGTCCCACAGTGGGACAGATTGACCAAAACAGCAAAGGTTCAACTTAAAAGGCCAATCTAACCAGCGCCCCCTACTGGATGTGCCTATTTATTTTTATTAATCAGATTTCCCATTCGCTGCATTAGTCGCCCCAGTTTATTGTCAGCGCCCCCTTGTGTCTGATGCGTACGAAGGTCGTCACCCCGTCTGGTTAGGGACAGGCTTTTCACTTTGTCTGAGCTCTTCGTCGACCTTCCTGGCTTATCCAGGTGGATGTTATCATTGCCAATTAGGAGCTCATAGCGACTGTAAGCTCTTTCTCTCTTGACTTGAGAGTCCGATGCTGCTTCATTGTCCAGAGCGCCTGTTGAGCCTTGGTCCTGATCTGCCGAAGGCGTTGTCTTTCTTTTGTTTGATCGCTGAGAGGACAGCTTTGAGAAAGGAGATTTCTGTTTTTCTGTCCGTTTTTCTGTCTCCGATAGCCCACTGAGAGAGTTTTGCTGCTGGGACGTCTCTGTTGACGGTTCTTTCTTATTCAGTCGCCCTAAAGAAGACGTTTTAGAAAGGTATGTCTGGAGCGATAGGTTTGAGTCCGAACTGTTCTGGGATTTCAGTAGGGACCGCTTCTCTTTCCTGGAGATTTTCTTTTCCTTGTCTGTAAACTCCTTCTGCGTGTGCTCTTTCTTTGTAGTAACTCTTTGAGGCTCTGCAGAAGGACCAGATTCTGCTGAGGGTACATGAAGGGATTTGTTAGCTTCTCTTGGAGGAGGTGAGTCTATTTTATTTTGGATCGAACCATAACTTTCACCAGTTTTATGATGATGACTTGATTCTACAGGTAAGCTTGATTTCATAAGGTGTTCTCCCTGGACAACTCTCTCATCTTTAGACCTCATTTCATTTTTGTCTCTAAGTGCTGATTCAAAGAGATCACCAGGAGGGTTTAATGGCTCTTTTTCTTCAGGCATCTCGGTCAAAGACTCCATCATCCTGGACTGCCTCAGACTGCCAGAAATTAAACAAGAGATCTTGAGAGTTGAATCACTGAGTTTTGAATCTAATCCAGTATCTGACTGTGTCCCTGCAGGAGCACAGTTGTGCATTGTCTTTCGATCGGCACCCATTTTGATATTGCCAGGAGAGGCCGAGTGTTTACTATCCATGAAACTTTGTTCTGTTCTGTCAGATTCCTTAAAGAGTTCATTGTCTTTCAAACTGAGAGTGTTTTGTGTATTTGGATTTATTTCTACACCCCTTGGTCTTCCATGATGAGTTCTCATATGTTGGGGTCTTTCTGCAGTTGACTGCAAAGATCGCAATGATTCTTGGCTTTGCCTGAGATTGGCATGCTCCTGCAAGCTTAGCCTTTTTAGCCTCATTTCCTCCATTCTAGACTTAATTTTCATTGACCTGCTGTGAATCATCTGTGACTGATACTCATTTAAGCCCATCTGACTGCTATGTGGACTACTCACAGGGGCCTCTGCATCAGGAGGTATACTGCTCTCTGTCAGGTATGTGTTCATCTTCCATTTGTTAAGAGATGTTTCAGAGTTGAATGGTATCAGATTGTGGTCTGTGCCATAGCGAGTCTGGTGCCTCAGGTGCTGCTGAGATGCTCTGTTTGGTGGCTGCACATCTCTGCTGTGCCTCGGTGTGGTGCCAAGGTTCTTGGTTCCCATTCTCAGGCGTCTCATGGAATTCAACTTATGCAAATCTCCACCATAATTGTGACCGCTCCCTGTGTCTGTAAAGTGAGACTGATGCAGCATCTCCTGCACACTGAAGCCCCTGTTTAAAGTGGCTGCATCATTATATGTGTCGTTTATCAAACCTCTCATGTTAGGTCTGGATTTCATGTGAAGATTGAGAGAAAGCTGACTGGACTTTGGGTACGTAGATGTAAGACTCCCAGTGGCCAGAGCTTCAGGAATTATGGAGCGAGCGTATAGTCTTCTGAACTCCTCATCGTAGGAAGAAACTAGTTGACCAGTAATAACTAGGACCATGCTCAGGTTGATCTTCTCAAAGGACCAGGTGTAGCTTGAAAAACACAAGAGACACAGTATATGAGGGAGCATTACAATATAAAAGGTGTTGCTAATAGCTAACACAATCAACATCTTCATGTTTTAGCAGTTAGCCATGACATGGCAAGAGGCAAGGCAAGATAAGGTGGATGTCAAGAGGCATGGCAAGATAAGACCCAAAGTAAGATACGAGGCAAAGCATGAAGTAAGACAAGAGTAAAGGCAAGGTAAGACACAAAGCAAGATAAGAAGCAAAGCAAGAGGCAAGACAAGAGGAAAGGCCTAGTGTATTTGAATAGGACATTTCAGCAACAAGGGCTCTCATGTAGGCCTGTTCCACCAACAGTTTGGGGCCAGTCCCAGTCCCCAAATTTGAGGGAAAGCAAGAGGCAAGACAAGGCATAGCAAAAGACAAAGCAAGATAAAGGACAAGGCAAGAGGCAAGCGAGGCAGAGCCTTTTGCATTTTAATAAAACATTTCAGCAACAAGGGCTCCCATGTAGGTCAATTGCACCAACACAGTTTGAGGCCTGTTTCGGTTCCCGAACATGTTTTACAATCGGTTTTGTGTTTTTCCACAGGTTCATATTGGGCACTGCTGAATGGTTGGTTTTTCTGTGCAACAGTGACATGACAGACCATCTGAACAAAGAAACAACTAACAAAAATGGTAGAGAAGAATGTGCAGTGGTCTGTTGAGGAAACCCAGCAACTGATTTCATTTTGGACTCAAAAGCAAAGTCATGCCTGGTAAATGCGTCACTGTACAATTTCTCTGTTGTTTTTTTGACATTAGTCTCTCTGTTAGGTCTAGTAAGAGTGAATACTGTATTGGTGATCAGATGAAGTTCTATGGATGTGGAAACTAAAGGAAGATATGTAAACAAAGTAATGCACACAGCTCAGTCGGTTCCGCCATCTTGCTAGTACTCTCTCCTACCACGTTATGTAGCACCCACTGTGGACAATGCATGATTGGTTCCCCAAACAAAGCACCAAAGTTTGAAGGCAAACAAACTGAATCAGTTCAAGAACAAGAGTACTTTCAGTGGAAACATGGTAATAATCTTATGAGCAAGACTTTTTTTGGAGCCCAGTATATGGATTATGACCCACCAAGACTGACTCACCTATATGTTCCATATAAAACCGTCTGCAAGTCCAGCAGAATAAACCGCTGGTCCAAGCCTCCATGAAACTTCGCTGATGACCGACACTGATACTGATCCCCCTGAACCGTCCGAACACGAAGGCTCTGAAAGAGAAGAACAAAAAGTCCAGTTAGAGGCTAAGGATATCTATTGATCCATTATCTTTGCCCTTTTTCCGCCTGCGGCCGTTTTCCTAGACTGTAGCAGCAACCCTAAAGATCTCTATATCAGGTAACAGTGATGGATGTGGCCTTGAATCATAAAAATTAAATATAATTATGTAAAGGAATCTTATGTGATCAGACTGAGCTAATGCGGGTCTGTTGCGATAAGAGGTTGTAACTAGCATAAAACCGGCACGGTGGCATAAGCACATTTTTGTGTCATGTCGGCAACCTTTTTGAAAGAAAAACCCTGGACTATAACTGGAATGTGACTTTGCCTGTTTCAAAGCCATTGGAGTGGATGGAGGCTGCATAACACACGTTTGAGATCATTTACAAAGAAAAGGAAAATAAAAGGGGAACATTTCCAGCACAGTGGCTTTTGTTTTCTGGGTATTTCAGCGTCTAACCGTTTGTGGTTAAGCGCTGCGTGTTTTAAGATAACAGGTCCCGTGTGCGGTGAAAAACATGCAGCAATAAAGCAACAAAGATTCACATTTGTGATAATTGCTGCTTGTATGTTACAGTAACAATGAGGATTAATAGTATTTAGAGCTCTTTGTGACTGCCAGAAAGAGTCGAACCCAAATGAGTCACTTTAATGTAAATAGTAACGGAAAACGTAGTGAACTTACAGCTGTGTCAGTCCAACCACTCCTAAAACCATCCAGTGAACATTTTCCAGGTTTGTCTTTATTGCTACTAATGACAGATAAAATCTACAAGATCAAACTTGTCAGTTTCTACAAGGTTGATGTTATGATGTCGTGGCTGTCTTGAGTGCTTTGCACTTCAAACACAAAGCTGCCATTGTGCTCCCCTGCTGACATGTTGTTTGCACTGCTGAAACATCATCCTAATGCCATTTAACAGGAAAATCCAGCTGCTCTGACAGTCCTGTCAGTTGTGCCGTACGATAAGAAGTAGCAAAGAAAAGAGAAAGGATAGACTTTTAATATGTGTGTGCAGAAATTAGCCTTAGTTGAATAATTACTGGAAGGGCAATGCTACTGGCAAAATGCAGAGATGTTTTCCTTTTAAGTTCCAGGGAACCTTTTAGAGAATATTTTAATGAGGTAAACCAACACTGGCTTGTTTGTTTACTCCAGTTATAGATTTTTAAATTCCTGCCTTTCCGTGAAATCCCTGTAGAGATCGTCTTACCCAAAACCCAAAGTCACTTTGCCAATCCTTAAACCTTTAAAATGTGGCCAGAGGAGACACGCCTGTCATTCACTCATTTCTACAATCTAACCTAGCATAGCATTTGGAGGTTAAGTCAGGTTAAGATAATTAAGTTTAATAGTGTGTTTATTTTATGATATTGATTTTTACTGCTACATGCTGCTAAACTTTAGAAACTGATGGAAATGGCAGGGTGTTGCAGATGCAAATAGTTTTAAAATAAATATAAGTGGCTGATGACAGCAAGCAAGCCAGAGGGGAAATATTCACTTAGGAAAATAAGTTTACCTTGTTTGTTTACCTTGTTTGTTTACCTTGTTTGGATTTTCAGTGAGTTAAATGGAAAATGTATCCCTCATCATTTCAACAAGTTCAAGTAAGTTTATTTATCCAACACATAAAAACAACTGCAGCTTTGACCAAAGTGCTGTATGGAGGACAGAGAAGTTCAAAAGTACACCATCTGTGACACATCTTTATTTTAATTAAAGCTGCAAAACGCAACTTTTATTTAAAGAAAAAAGTTTCTTAACATATGTTAAAACTGGCACCATGTATTGACAGTTTGATATGAGACAGATAATCTGTGAAAAAATGTAGCTGCTCCTTCTCCTGGAAACAACCAATCAGAGCCAGGAGGAGGGTCTTAGCGATGTCAATCATGCCTCGTTGCGAATGCTATGCTAGTTAACACAGACACCAATGACGCAGATGAACTGTTTTCCTTTAACGTTCAGTTGTTTCTCAGATTATGCTGTCACAACATGTTAACAGTTTTAACCAATATAAAAGCTACATACTGCAGCTTTAATGCTAATCAAAAAGTCCAGCTCCTTCCCACATGATTGATTTTATTTTGTTTTTTTACCTTGATGTCGTGGAGGTTAATGCCCATACTGCGTGACATGTTGAGGAAGCTGCTGACCCGGGAGTCATCCAGGAGGATGTAGACCATCACCCCTCTGAGGGCCGCGCTGATTAGCTCCTTAAAAATGTCCACATCGGTGAAAACATCCATCGCTATGGCAACAAGCTGCAGACGCATAAACACAAATACACAGGATTCAATCATACTTGTTTTGTTGTAAACAGAATTGCAGCTTTAGCTTCACAAAAGGTGGTTCAGTGAGCTAATCTCTCATCAGTGCAACTGAATTCAGGACTTAATAATCTCGTAATACTCAACAAATTATTACATAACTGAACAATTCTAGATCTGGGCACAACAAGTAATTTGTTTAATCTTTTGTTTGTTTCAATTTCAATTCATTATCTAAAAATAGACAGAGTATGGCACACCTGCATCCCTTTAAGACATAACAGTCCAGTTAAGCTGACAGGCCTATTAGTTGTGGTTTCTACAAGTTTGGAGTCAAGGAGGAAATCGTTAGATTCAGATAATTAGTTTCATTTTTATTTTAGCTACCAAGTCATTCAAGAGACACAGCAAACATACAGAAGATTTATCTACATGCAAAACAGTCTGAACACCTCGTTGGCTCAAGAAAAAAGATAGTGGGAATAAATATCTGTATTAATAGACTGCTTTATGGGTTTGTTTGGACTCTCTATACAGTAACCTGTCAATACAATTTATGATCAGATTTAATTTCCCTGAAAACTCAAAAAGACTGGTTTTGCAAAATGGGCTGAGTGAGAAACAAACTGTACTGACTGGGTTGTGGAATGCTTGCTAGTGACGACCAGTTCCTGTTTGACCTGTTTCTGTAGCAACTGCCACAACTGCACAAACCAGCAAGAAAACTCAGACATGCACTCACACTCGGTCTGTATCCATGGCCAACAGGCTGTACCTTCAGGCAGAATGAGCCTCCAGTTGTTTGGACCTGCCATAAACTGAAACATGTGCTGAGAAAGTGGCTGCACTAAAAGCTTTGTTGGGCTTGAGCAGATGCACCACTAATCGTTTACATTTGTACATGCATAGCTCCTCCAGCTGCAGCTTTAGTAGTTTGACTATTTCACAGAACAACAGTATGTGTATGTGAAAGTACCTTTAGGATATTTTGGACAGAGACTTTGGATGTGGTACTTGAGCTAAAGCAGGGGTGTGCAAACTTTTTGTCACGTTGGCCAAAATTATCGAGTCAAAACCAAGAAAATAATAAATAAATAAATTAAGGCTATAACATCATTGGTGTCCATTTCTTTTGGATGAAATTTACGTTTTTCACCCTCTTCAGGATTATGTGCAACATTAAGTCTGACATTAGACATCGGTAAAATACAAGATGTCCGAGGATGAATGTGAGAAAATGTTAAAAAGTTCAAGGACTGTAAATACGTTTGCAAGTAATTTTGTAGATCCCAATAGTGTACATTTAGTGAGTAGGTGTATTAAACATAATGTGCTTTCAACGTGCAATATGCAAACAACGTATTTACGATTAATTGTCGATAAATGGTTTATTAGTTCCAGTCGATTAACTAATGATGTCCCCCTTAGACTTTCTTTTAGTGTTGTAGTTTGGCCGCCAACAAGCAGAAGGCGCCACTGGTCACCCAAAAGCGGAGCCAATCACAAAAACAAAGATGGCGGCTGGGCCACATCAGAACGGGAAGGAGAAACGGTCCAAACTGTCCGGTGTTGGATGTAAAATGCTCCTCATGCGGTTCTGTTTTGAAATTTTAACCCTCGACAAGCTCCGTAAGTTTCACAATGTCTTTGTTTTTAATCCAGTATATTATTAAAAATGTATCTCTTTAGGTTTTGGGATGACAGTCGAAAATGGCGGCTTATCGCTCGTTAATGAGAACTAGCATGATTAGCACAGCCATGTTTAGCACTAAGCACCAGAAGCCCATAAAGCACAGCGCTCATATTTTAACTTTAGATTCTCCACTTTGGATTCGTGTCATGTTTACAGGGATGAAACTAAACCACAGAAGCAATGGCCTCTGGTTTAACAGGTTACTGGCTAATGATTTTATTCCAGTTAGTGAGCCCGTTTAGAAAGAGGTATTTTCTTTTTATGAAACCTAAAAGATGTCAGCTGACATGCAGAATTTTTTCAGGTAGTTTTAACCAAAATACAAATTGAGAAGTAGAAAAAACTTAAGTGAAGTTTCTTCATCAAATTAACCGGACGACCCTTGGAAACTTTAAATTTAAATCTTTAACATTAGAATAGCAGAGATTAAACGTTTTGTTGCAGCACATTTGACACCAATTTCGTTTAAATTGAAGAAGGTTGAGGACCAACGTAATTCTAGTGAAAATATATTATAGGAATGTTATTGTATATTACAATTATCTAGTTAATATATAATTGTTGCACGGTAAAAATAGTCCTTCTGGATATATTTAGCTGCGTCTAACGGTGGGACAACTAGCTGTTTTGCCAGAGAGTCAGATCGGTTTGGATAGATGTTTTCCCATTTCAGTGATGAAATAATCATCTAAAAACAGTTTTTGATATTTACCCACGTCATTTTTGTCTGGTATTAAAAAAAACTGCCAAAAACGGATACAAAATTAGTAAAATTTTGCACATACGCCCTGTAAATACGCTGTTAAGAAGGAGATATCATTCAAGAGGCACACATAGAGATATAAAATAAAAATAACTCGGTGGTTGTTTGTAAAGGATATTGATTATTCTAAATCAAACTAAGAAGCACCTTTTAATAATGTGTAAGCAAATTAGTAAATAGAAGATTTTAAATGCATTTCAGATTTATTCTGCTAAAATATATAACTTTACCAAGTATTCTTGTCTAGTTCCTTGTGTGAATGTCTTAGTACACTGACAAAATAACTGACAACTAATTAGCTTTTCAGGAATATGTCTGAGTTTATCTTCAGTTAATAATTCATTAATATTGATAAAACAATACTACTTTCACTGGCAGATTATTTCACTTATAACAAGAAATTTGTACCATTTTATAAGAGAAATAATCAGCCAGTCAAAACTTATACTTTTTCATCTAAATCAAGGAATTATTAACTTAAAACACTCTGTCTTGCTGAAAAGTTACTTGTAAGTTAGATTTGTCTCATTTCTGTGATGGTCTATTAGGGCCATTGTTGATAGAAAACAGTAGTAAATTTATGCTGAAAAAGTCAGAAATTTTTAGATTGATATCAGAAATTATCTAAAAAAACACAGAATTTCTGAATTTGAAAAGTCAAAACATTTGGAAGAAAAATTGGAGTTTGAAGAGTCAAAAATCTTCAACTTCTGAAAATTTCTAAAAGTAGGAAATTTTCGACTTTTGAAACTCAAATTTTCCAAGCTTTTTATAGAAAAGTCCTGAAATTAATCTAAAATCTTAGGAGTTTTTTTTAGATAATTTTCAACTTTACAAGCTCAGAAATTTCAAAAATTTCTTCTAGTGAATTTCTAAGATCAATCTCAAAATGTTTGACTTTTACCATTTAATTTTTGACTTTTAGAGATCAGAAGCGCCCAAGTTTATTCTAGAAAATTTCTAAAAATTAGTCTAAAAATTTCAGATATTTTGACAGAAATCGACTTCTTTTTATCCATCTCTGATGACCGTAGTACACTGTTGTAAATTTCAAGCCCACCAAGTCCTAAAACGTCACCACCTTCTTAAACCTGATTGTACTCAAGTAAGAGTACTTTAACATATTTTTACTCAAGTAAAAGTAAAAAGTATTTGGTAGAAAGTCTATTCAAGTAGTAACTGATCAAATTATCAATCATTTAATGTGGACCTAATTTTGGTACTTTAAAGTTATTTCCACTAGAAACTACGGCTGTGTTTTTGCAGTGTACGTCTGACAGAGAACAGGTAGGGCTCAGATCTCACCTTTTGCGCCACCTGGATCTGTTTCCGCACCACCTCTTTAATGGTCGGCGTGTCCTGCCGGGGCGGGTGGAACAGCAGGCTGATGGTGGTTTCGGTGCCGTTCTGCCGGGCCTTCGGCCAGCCCAGCTCCAGCTCCGGAATCTCCTCATCGGACTCGGTGGGGAAGTAGGTAGAGGGGCTGACCCGGTCTGCGTTTCCTGAGGCCTCATCCACAGCCGGCAGCTCTGCGTTTTCCAAAATGAAGCGGATCTCCTCGTCGGACAGGAAGTGGCTGACCTGCTCCGCCTGCAGGTACTCCTCGTAGGCGTCGACGCCGCCGCACAGCAGGGCGTAGATGGCCAGGCGGTACGACTCCCGGTAGTGAGGCTGGACGTAGAGGCTCTCGTCCTTGATGGAGGACAGCTCGGACAGGTTGGACTCCATGGATGACGGATTCACTCCAAGTCTGCGTGTGAAAGCATCGCATCAGTTTCATATTTATAATTCAGGTTTCACCGTCTGGTTTAAAAACGTGGAGAAGGTTCACAGTTTTCTGCGTAACAAACGTATCGGACCAGACCGCTGATATTTGTTTTCAGTGCAGAAGATGCAGAGTTCGGTGGTAACTAGCTACATTTACTCAATTGCATTCACTTGAGTGACGTTTTTGAAAAAAAAGAAAAACTTTCAGGAGTATTTTTACTCTGCTGTAATTTTATTATGAAGTATTTCTACTCTTACTTCTGAGTAAAGTTACTGGATTTTCTACTCACTGAATGAAAAACACAAAATGTTTTAACCAAAAATTCACCAGACACAGAAACTCTCCTGCAGTTTTTCTCTTAAATCTTCATAAGTTTTTTATTTAAACTGATTTGGAAACATTTTATTTTGCCTGGTTTTGTTATTTTTTGTGACTTGTTTGAATTATTGTCATTTTGGTCCTTAAAATACCAAAATTTCCACAAAGCTTTATATTTTGTCTGATGTAGTTTTTAAATCTTAAATGATTGATCAGTTACTCAAGTAGACTTTTTACCAAATACTTTTTTACTCATACTTCTTAGATAGCTACTTTTACTTGAGTACAATTTTTGAGTACTAACCTGGTAGTAACTAGTTACATTTGCTGAGTGTACTTCTACAAGTAGTTTTACTACTTTGTACTATTTTACTTGAGTAATATTATGATGGTTTATAAATATAAAGCTCTGTGAGTAACTTCATCAAATGAACAAAACCATGTTTGTGAAAAATCCACAGGACGCAAACAGACTTGTAGTTTATATAACTCAGTTACATTAACTCACTTTAACTTTTTGGAAAGAACGTACTTTTATGAGTACTTTTACTTGAGTCATACCATCATTAAGTATTGTAAACCTTCGGGATGCTCTACGTACTTTCAGTAACTTGAATGAATGAAAGAAACGAACAAAAAAGAAGTTTAACCAAAAAATACCTACATTTTATGTCAAAGTGAGACCTCTTGTTTATACGCAGTCTTTCTTGTTTCACATATAGTAATTTTATTTTGTCAATTTTTTTCATTTTAGTCTTTAAAATACCAGAATGTAAACATAACTTTATAAATTTCTGTCATTTTTAATTAAAACAGATGTTATTATTAGTTTCTTGGCATTTAAATATTCTAAATACTTTTTTACTCTCGCTCTTTTACTTGTTGAAAAATATGTTGAAGTAGTGCTTTTATTATTCAGTACAATTTTAGGTGCTCTATCCACCTCTAAGTAATTTCTGTACATTTAAACAATTATTGTTCTTGCAGTGAGCGGCTGTTTAACTGGAATTAGAAACGGATTAAATTACCAGTCAGACTGGATAAAACTCCAATTACCAAACCAAACAGAAAAAACTTACTTGATCACTGCAAATCCTGGTTTCCTGTTCTGCTGTGAACCTCAAGCATATTAAAATGTACAGAAAATAAGAGTCCAGTGTTCGTCCGTCTGCCTCCAGCGGAGCAGCCCATCTGAACTCTGTCAGCACCAACAGCCTGCCGTACCTGCCCCGTTTCCTCCACTCACACATACTGGGACAGGCTCCGCCCACCTGAGCTCACCTGGCTCCCAGGAACAGGTTTGTTCGGCTTGTTACCTGCCACTCGCTCAGCTGGGTCTGACAGCGCCACCATTTTACCTTCAGCCCAACTCACTGCTGCTGGAGCTACGGTGGTGATGATGATGATGATGATGATGATGATGGGATTTTATTGCCATCAAAAAGCAAAAAAAAAAAAACTTATAACAAGACATTTTCCCCTTGTTATAAGTGAAATAATTCGTCAGGTTTGTCAGTGCACCAAGATACTCGTACTTAAAAGCAGACCAAAATACTTGGCAAGATTTTATTTATTTTTTGCAGTGCACTAAACATTTCCTCTTGTTTTGTAATGAATGTAAAGCTTGTGATTTATCTAGTATGTTTATCTAGTTTCTAACACAAATAAATGTGTACACTTGAATAAGACAAAACTAGCAAGAGGAGCTTGTTTTAAGTCAAAAATGTCTTAATGTTGAAGAAAAAGTACTAGTTTTATTTCACTTTAAACAATTTTCCAATAATCTGCCAGTGGAACTAGTATTTTTTTTAAATATTTACTTACAAGCTCCTTTCTGTGGCTGAAAAGTTACATGCAAGCTAATTTTGTCTTATTTCATGCATTGCATACTAGCATATTTTGCATAGAAACCAGACCAGACATACTTGGTGAGATTTTGTGTTTTTGCAGTGTACTAGACTTTTTGAGTCTCACTTTGTGATGAAGCAGAGACAACAGAATGAGGTTGATGAGTGTATTTTATTGCCATTACAAAGCACTGCAGAGAAAAGACAAAAAAACAGGACAATCCACAAACGGATGGACTGGTCTGGCACAGGGATGAAGGCAGGAAGTAAATGTTTATTTACATTCCCAACAGCAGGCTTCAGTTATAATGACATTAAAAATTAAGTCTAATAGAAGAGAGAGAGAGCAAAAACTAAAGCCATGTTCTGGTGAATCAGCTTTGTAATGAAAACTACTGTGGATCTAAAGTATTTGGTAAATATGAGTTCATTTTCCTGTCATAACTTCTTTTGCAAACTTAAAATAATATTTTGCTATTTTTTTTATTACTAAAAGCTGGAAAACTGAGGCCTTTAGTTTGTCTGCATGGAGTTGGTGTGTCATTTCCCCCCCAACAATAATGATTTCTTGGAAATAAGGGAATAAAATGAGATGCAGGCGTTCAACTAAAACTTCTCTGACAGGATCTGCTTATAAAACCTTAACCTGCACTGCAAAAACAACATTTACCAAGTATTATTGTCCAGCTGCTAGTGCAAATATCTTAGTAAACTATAAAGACAAAACTAACTGAAAAGCAACTTTTCAGCAAGATATAGGAGTTTAAGTAAATAATTCCTTAATATTGATTTTTTTTTAAAGTGCTATTTCCACTGGCAGATTATTTAACTAAAAACACATGAAAAATGTCTCGTTATAAGTGCAACAATCTCCCAGTGGAACTAGTTTTCATGCGCCTGTATCTTGCTGAAATGTTAGTTGTGTTTTATTTTATTTGTACTAAACATAGACCTATAATACTTGGTAAGATGTTGTTTTTGCAGTGTAGTAGACGTTTTTTCTCTTTTTTCTTCCTTCTCTTGTTTTGTAATGAATGTAAAGCTTGTATTTTAGTATAAGCAGCAGTTTTTAATTTTTAAGCTAAAGAAACTAAACATCTCCCATTTTCACCCTCCATGTTGCCAGCGGTGAAAGTTTTGCTCTCAGACGTCGATGCCTCTTCCGCTCACTTTCTGGGTGGGGTGGGAGACTTCATGAACCGGGGCGGGGTCGGGGACTTGACGCTGCGGGGGGGAGTGGGCGACTTGGTGCCCGGGGAGGGGGCAGGGGTCGGGCTCTTCGCGGACTGAGCCGGGGTCTGGGGCTTGGATGGGGTTGGGGTCTTGGCGGGTGCTGGGGATTTTGGCGGCACAGGCTGGGCCTGCGGCGCCGCCGCCGCCGCCGCCGCCGCCGTTCTAGGCTGTCCCAGTTTGGGCTCGGGGATTGGCTCGCCGTGCCGGTAGACGCTGACGGTGATCTCCACGAACTCGCCGCCGTACTTGTTCCGCACGTTGATGCTGTACTTGCCGGAGTCGTCGGTGGTGACTTTGTTGATGACCAGGCTGGCGAACTTCCCGCCGTCGAACGTCACCCTGGTGTGCTCGTTGGAGGCCACTTCCTGCTCGTTTTTGAACCAGGTGACCTCGGGGGTCGGCTCGCCCCACACGGTGCAGGTCAGGCTCAGAGACTGGACGGGACGGCAGAGTTAACATGATGTTAATGTGTAACAAAGCTAAAAAAAAGTACATTTTACATGATGCCGTCTCTTTAAAGCTGTAGGTCTTTGGCTCATGGCGACATGTGCTGAGAATAAATAATTCTGTGTTTTTATCTCTTTTAGCAAAGCTAAAGGAAATGACATGTTAGGAGACGCCCCCAAAGCTAAGGCTAAAGGATAGGACTCTTACAGCTTTGCAGTTATTTAGCTGCTAATCTGAGACTTCGGTAAAACCAGAAGAGTGTCTTTAAAAATGTGTTTTTGTCTGTTGACAGTGAACTGTGTGAACGGAGTTATGACATGTAACTGGGATGTCTTTGTCTTGGTCTGAAATAATGAAAGGTGAAATGGTTTAAAAATCTAAAATTCAGCAGTTCTTGGTCTTGTTTTGTGTCTTTTTTTAGCAGTACATTGCAGCCCTGATGCTTTTATCTCGCTCTCGCATTCGTTCGTCAGGAATGCTGCTGTGGCGGTTCAGCGCTGACCCTTGACCTTCTCAGCACAGAGCTGATGTAAGCGTGTAAAACAAACATTTCTTTAAGGTTGATGTGGGCCTGAAAGCCTCTCACCTTCTCCTCCATGATGGTGACCACATCAGGCAGTCCGCCCACCACTCTGCCGCGGTCTGGAGCAAAACAAACATCAGGACTCAGAAACTCACATGAAGAACAAACAAAAACACATTTATGGAGCTCAAAGTGTGATTAAAATGTTGGTAAAAGTCCTTTACTTTAGGTTTTCTACCTTTCTCTGAGTTTAAAATAATAAGCTAAATTTAATTATCGTGAGGGAATAAATACACGTTTGGTGTCAACATTAAAAAGAGATCTACTTACTCTTCTCAGCAAATGCAGCTGCCCTAAAACCCAAAAGGTTCAGTGTTATTAAAATGATTTCAATACAAATTCACAAACTGTTATATCCAAACGACTTACTTAAGCCGGAGATACTCTTCATAGGCGTCAGTGTACGCTGTGAAAAGGAAATGCATAAATCAATACATCACTGGACATGCTGTAAACATTTCATTAAGTCAGTTAAAATGTTTGTTTTAAAGCATGTTGGTGGGGCTTTTAGTGCTTTTAAGGGCGACCTATAATGGAACATTTATATTTTCCACATTCTTGTACTTCCATTTGGTTTAGTCGCTTAAAACAAACAACTAGCCATCTTTTGGAAATACCGTAATGTTTTTTGGTGTCTGGAAAATGAGTTGTTTCAAAAACCTTCTGACAAATCAACAAATGAGACGGAACTGGACCGTTACCTAGCAACCCAGAAAAGCCCAGCCCGTCTCCTAGCAACACAAGCTGAGTTCCCAAGACGTTTGGTCAGTTGGTTTTACTGCTGTATGCGTTGTACAATGGCTGCTGGAGAAGACAACTGTTCAGTTGTTGACTTGCCATTCAGAAACCATTTGCCGACTTCTTATTGGTTGTGCAGGAGGCTCCACTTCTGCTTTTCAAAAAAAGTACTGTTGAATAATTGTGCGTCTGTTTGCAGCCATTTTCATGAACGAGCGTAAACGTTGAGTTGTGGGTGTGGTGCTGCAGCTTATTGGTATTCAAAGTGTCCTAAAGCTCAAGAGAAGCAGAACTGAGCAGATTAAATATTATCCAAGAATGAAAAAAATGTGATGAACGTTTTGTTTGGCTGCTGTATTTATCCCAACTTGTTCAAGGAGCAAAATCAGTATCTCTGCTCTGATATGTGGTTCAAAATCCCTGACAGGTGCAGCTCTAATCTTAGATTACATTTTTCATAGCTGCATGTTTAGACGTGGAGGTAGTGTCATACCTTGTCCGGAGAGGTCAAAGGTCCGGGTGTGAGTCGTAACGCCATCAGAGATCTCAATGGCGTAGTGACCCTTCTCCTTATCGGACGGATCACAAATCTGCATCCAGGCCATCTCTGCAGTGCCGCCGATCCTCATCTTCTCAGAGGAGGCGATCTTACTCTCCCTGCAGTCACATACACATCACCTTTAAGACTTCAAAAACTACACACACATACGAGTATATGAGTAGAGCACGTTTACAGTAGCGCAGAGTTAAGATTTTCCAAGTCAGAAGTAAAGCGGTGCTGTGCAATAAGAACTGGTTTGTGTCGTTAAGGTATGTAGGTGTGTTACTACACGGTTGACTGTATGTCACAGAAATTAAATGAGCTCTGACTCTAACATCTAAATGAGCTCTCAAGTCTAACATCAGCAGAAGGTTCTCAGGCTGCAGACACTTTTTACATTAAAGAAGAACTCAGATAATACTAGATATTTATACTTAAACATTTCAATGTAAAACAGCCAAATAATCTCAAATTCAGCCTCCTATTTTGATCCAGATGTTACTAAATCCTGACGTGGAAATGGATGATTTCACGTCTGTTTTTGCGCGTTAGTGCTTAATGAGTTGCGTGTAAACTCTGTTGATGTACTTGTGCTTCCAGACAGTCTTCATCTCCTCTGTGTAGTAGTTCATGTAGCACTGCAGTCTGATGCCCTCTGGAGTACACTGCATGACCAGCTCAGAGGCAGACGCGCCTGAAACACACACACACACACACAGAGTCAGGAACCAGGAAGACAAACACCAGCCACTGACTCAGAGGGATTTCTGTCCAGCTGCTTTTCTTCTGCACCAGAAATCTACGGTGACTTCTTCTCTCCTTCCTATGAAATTACAACTTTTCAAATTATTCCAAGATATAATCCAGCTTACTGGTACTGCTGACAGTGGCATGTTCTCATAGTGGAACCTTCAGTAAAGTCCAA